TCAAAAAAGTACTCCAGAGTGTTGTTCAGCATGGGGGTGAGTAGAAAATGAAGGCTAATCATGTTTTGGGTGTACTATTCCTTTAAGGCCAACATATATCGCAATCATCTGTCAATAAAATTTTTTCGGTCACAGTACCTTCATTCATATGTCGCAGCTAATATACGCATCGGTTGAAATAAGAAATAAGAATAATTTACCTAACCACTGAGTTCTGTCCCATTGTTCATGGGGATGGACGTCTGTGTCTTCAGCAGGCGTAGAGCTAACAGAACATGTACAGCTGTAAGCCTTCTACACCAAACCAAGCTTCTGCCACCCTGACGTCCTCTTCCACAACATCTTCATCCCCGCTTTCCTCCTCAACTTAAAAAATGTATGACGGAGGAGACTCATCTACGACCTCCAACACAAAACTCTCCTCCTCTTCCACTGTCCATAGCGTTCCTTGACAGTGTCTACTTTGTCCCAATGGAATTTCCGATTGGGAACCTACTAGCACTAAATTGATAACTGGTTAGCAACGATGCCCGCCACAATCAAACTTGCTTGCGAGCCTACCGCGACAACTATCCCACCCTCTTGATAAACGACCAATCACATTCACTTTATTCACTCGTGTAAAGTCGTGCACCACTGGGAGAATTCGGAAATGCAACGGTTGGAACAGCTGTTTCAAGAATTTACACCAAATTGGAATAAAGAGAAAATTGACAAAGGATTAAATAAAGAATGCTCCTAAGAGGCTTTTAGGTAGTTTTTAAAAAGGCTATTTAAAGGACTGTTGAATCATTCATCATTTGCCACCCTAGCTTCAGTTCAGATCCTGGACAGCCGCTGCCTCTCGACAGCACTGATGTCCTCTGTTCTACTTGATTAAAGGAAGAACCACTGAATTTGACAATCATCGGCAACGTGACCCTTGGAGTTAGTGGTGGTACTCTCCAAACTGGTTCCGTCTTGTTAGAATCGGGTAGACCAATAGAGATCAACACTGCCGGCTTTGTTTGCTTTCTACAGCAAAGCAAAACAGGTACTTGCTTTATAAAATCCCTCTCTGCCCTGTTAACTAGAAACTGGTAGGCAGATAGAAGCTCAAGCTTCTCCTATTTGATAATGTGGTACTCGATCAGCATAGTGAAGCTGAGGTCCATCTAAAATGCACAGTGTGGGGTGATGGCAGACATTACAGTGGACTCACCATTCTGTGTGAACACATCATTACAACACCATTTTCTGTCAGACTAACACAAGGACAGATAGGACATTCTTCCCTGCAGCAGGTTCCTTCATACCTGAGAACTTCCAGTCTCGCCTGTGGTTCCTTCTGCAAATCTGACAGCATCTTGACTCCTGAATCTCCTGGATGATTGTAGCTCAGGTCCAACTCTTTCAGATGGGAGGGGTTGGAGTTTAGTGCTGAGGCCAGAGAAGCGCAGCCTTCCTCTGATATAATACAGCCTGATAAGCTGCAGACACACAAACACAACAGTGGAGGTAAAGCGAAGTACTAACCTTTTAGCATAGGCGTAACTTCCTTAAGGACTGGTGTGGACATGTCCCCACCAATCTTGACCGGTAGGGGGACAGTCCCCACCAATATTTTGTACATGTATTTTGCTTTCGGTGCTGTGTATATCTGATTAAAACC